TGTGGCACCATAAAGGTTCCCTTATGGATGTGCACTCAAAAAACATCCTCCCAGTCTGACCAGGATCCACAGCTGTGCATTCCCTGAACTTCAGAAACATCACAAATCCATGATTTGCTTTAACTCTGGTTATTTAGAACTATCAAAAACTTGACAGAATACATTTTACCTACTCTACTGCCCCATCCTCATTCAGAATCTTTATCTTGTCTATTTGGGATGTTAAATTGATTGGACAGTTGAAGGATTTTACCATTTAACTTTTATTTATTTATTTTTACTGAAAGTCCTGTCTGAGTAATCTATTAGTTTAAAAAAAACCCTAACCAATCAGACAAAAAAAAACAAACCACCAAAAACCACAAAACAGACATGACCCCCACAAGACAGAAGAGCTAGCTTACTATTGTTCACCATTCTGCACAAAGTCTTTTATGAAAATCTGCATTTCAAAGCAACCTGAGAAAGAACACACAATTTACAACCTGTGGTCTTGCTCTCACTTGCTGAAGTCTCAGAGGACCCAGAATTCACATAGTGCTTAAGTCTATCTCAAGTGATAACTCTGTATGGTTACAAAAATACATATTTAAAATAAAAAGAATCTCAAGAGTGAAATATATAAGTACTACAAAGGAAGAGGAAAAAATCGCACTAGCTGTCAGCTAAGCTGATTTTACCTCACCTGACCTTCTTAATATTTTTATTTGTACCAGTCCCTGTGGCTGGATTTGAGCAACTCAAGCCAAGTCAGTCATCTTTGTAACTTTGTAAACCCAGTGAGATTCAAGCATTGTGTTCATACTTTTATTTTAAGCTCCCAAAACTCTCACTAATGCTTATCTCTGGCACTCGCTTTTTGGATTACATTAATTATTTGATTACTATCTTGATAAAGTGGTTTAGTACATGCAAACAGCCTCTTCTGAGAACATTAATCAACTTAGCAATATGCTTACAATTGACACAGGACTTTCTGGATTATGGTTAATAAACATGGTTTCTACTGATGGTCCTACCAGTCCCAAGACAAGAAGTAGTCCTAGCATGACCTTTAATAGTAGCCAGCGTCAGCTTTCTCCAAAGAAAGTTTCCTTTTGCCTACATCACTTTCCAATCACTTTGACCCTCACCAATGCAGTGAGGGGCACGGTTAAGCTGTAACGAAAGCAAGGCCATTTGGTTTCGCAAGAACAGTAGAACATCATATTCAAGTAGATAACATCCTCTTCCTTCTCCTCACCCGTATTTCACGACTGCTTTTGTTTCCCCTGTGTCCCAGCAGGAGTATGGAAAATGGCAGGAAAAAGAGTGGACAGACACAGAATCAGTCTCTCCCACTCTCACATGCAAGACTGACTTAATTGTATTATCACCAGCACTTTGTTCTTGCAGTTCAAAAACTCAACAGATAATTTTTGTATTTGCAACTCTTACGACGCTTTATTTGCAAGTTTCTCCCTTAAAAGGTACTAAAAACTTGTTTTGAGAAGTGAAGCATTGATTTAGTCACCCGAAGAGGAACTTCAAGCTGAAACTGAGTATTGCTTAACTCAAATCTCAGGACTTGAAAACAGCGATTTACTGTCGCTGAAAGCAGGCCTTTTAAATGGTACTGAAAATCCATCCTCATCTTTAGAGAAGAGAATCATTGTGATTTTATTTTTCTCCAGAGTTAGGGAACATGGGATCTACTTGCCCTATAAAGACACAGCCTTGACATTTACCCATGCAAGGCCTCTTAAATTCAGTAATAGCAGGTCACATACCTACATGTGAACTACCTTTCCAACAGTAGCCTTTCTAGCCACATCAACCTGTGTGTTAAGCAATGGTAACCAAAAATCTATCTTCAATGTGCATCACTGCACCTGTCCAGCTTTTCTCTGGGACAGTTTCAATGCACTGAGAACTAGTGTGGGTATTAAGACTTCCATGAACTTATTCCTGTTACCTCGAAATGCAACCACATGAGCCTATCACATACTGAATACACAAGATTCCTAGACATATCACTTGCTAATGAAATTGCTAAAAGTACAGTTAAATCTCCTCCCCCAATGTATTTTCACCTGTTTGTTTTACAACATTTGGTTTAAACTTCCAACTATGTTGTGCTGTAATACTGAAAATCAGTTTCTAAAAATGGCAGAAAGCCATTACAAGGGAAAAAAAGAAATACTCAGCAAATCCTCTTTGCCCTTGATGTAACCAACTCCTGTTCATGACGGGAACTAAGTAGCTTTCACAATGGTTTACACCCAGGTGGCTCATTTCAAACTGGAAGACCAGATTAAAATTTTGGCACCTCACCCAAAAGCCGTCGCTCTTTCTCACCCGAGTTTGGCATAAGCAGCTGCAGAAGTTGCCCTCCTGCACCTCTCGGAAAGCCAAGGACTGGAAGACCAGATTAGAATTTTGGCACCTCACCCAGAAGCCGTCGCTCTTTCTCACCCGAGTTTGGCATAGCAGCTGCAGAAGTTGCCCTCCTGCACCTCTCGGAAAGCCAAGCTGCTACTTGGGAAGGAAGGGGAGATGGGAGAGTCAGCTATTGACAGAGGGTAGCACCTGCTGTGAAGGGAGCACATGCCCTGCGGCAACCACAACGCGTTGGGAAAAGCAGCTGCAACATCAATTATCAGGGTTAAGCTGTGAGCAAGTGCAAGAGGTTGCATTTAGCTGTTTGCACAGCATTTATTCTTTGAACAGCCCTTCCCCACCTAAAATGAGCTTAAGGAAACTGCCTGGAAAGAAAGATCTATTAGGGTCCAATTAGGGCCACAGTGAAAAGCCTCCCAAATCTCCAGCATATAATAAACCTAATACATAATTGTCACTCTTCCTTCCTTTACTCCATCTGATTGCATAAATTTGCATGGTTGTAGATGGGTTAAATGTTAAATTCCATCTCTAGTGTTAGACCATTCACGTAAGTGATCTTAAATCAACTCTGATTACTGAATAGTTACAGTGACAGGAACAGTGAACAAACAGTAGCTTGTTAAGCACAGAGTGTATGCAAAGAGTGGTCAGGGAGAGGCTGAACACGCTAGCAGGAGTTAAGACTGCCCAACATTTTTCCAGTTAAAAGCTAATGAAAAGTAAGGCCTGCCAAAATTCAATCAGCTCACATCATTTTTTTCTGTTACATTCAGTTTAATCTTTCCCACTAATCTACATGTAAGGTTTTTGCCATTTAATCAGATAAAACCCAGAAAATCTGAATGCTGCTTAAATCAAAACCAAGGACTAATCGTTTTGAATTTGTATTTTCCTATTCTGTGCCAAAGAACCACTTTCTTAAGGGGCTATGCAACAGAACCACACTGAAAAACTGCACTTTGTTTGAATATTTGGACTGTTTAATTTGCCCCCAATTTAAGCTGCTCCTTGCATGCTTCAAGAAATCATTGTACAGGCTGCAAAAAGTCTCCTGTAACTAATGCATTTGACTACTACAGGCAAAAGAGATTAACAGCAAAAAAACAACAGCAAAAAGAGCAGGAGGGATTATGCTACTTCGCTCAAGTGCTTCCTACTGTTGATAGCATCTGAGCAGTATGGAAGTGGCAGAGGAAGTCATCCAATTTGAAGAAAAGAGGACAACAGAGACTGTTGTCAGGACAGGCTGACAGAAGAATTTAACCTTTAGAGTACAAGCCCAAGAATTGCCTGGCAAGTCATCCAAAATTACTAAATTCCAAAGGTCATCTCATGTCAACGATGCCTACAGTCCTCCTGAGAGTTTCTTTCTGCTCCACTTCATATGCAGAGCAATGAGAAACAACAATGAGGTACTCCATAAAGGAGCAATTCCCTGCGCCCCAGGACTGAAACTATACCTTCCAAACCTAATGGTCAAAGTTACATCCATATATGATCTTACATAACTTAATTACAATGTTCCCCAGCATTTGTCTTACTCTTTTCAAAAAGTTCATACTGATTTTTATTTTTTTAAAGGTGTTGCAAACATAGCTGAGTTGCAAAAGAAGAAAACATAACTCCTCCACTCATGTCTTCTACTGCCTTAACTCCAGTTATACCACACACAAGACCTGCCTTACTAGTCCTTCCATTATTTCAGCAAGATACATAATCTAGGTAAGTTCACTTTGCCACTCTCTCTTTTCACAATTAGTAGTCCTGTCCTACAAAAACACCCTCTTGCAAGAGCTGATTGTTTTGACCATACTTTAATTCAAGTCCTATCCTTGGACTGCCAAGGACGTTAATTTCTAACAAGACCAGTAGTGTTCTTCCTTCGCTGAGCTGACAGCCAGGGACTGGATTTAGGCCCAGACTCCCAGAGATATTTAAACACCTCCAATCCTCCTAGTGAAAAGGACATAAAACATAGTGGAGAATTTCGTCTCCATGTCCAAACAGGAATTCATGAAACTGAAAATAAGCAGCTTTTACTCACTGCCAGTTAAAATTCAAATTTTTAATTGCAGTCTAATGATAGCTCATCCTAAGATGATATTTGACCAAAAAAAAGTTTCTTTTAGCTCCATTCTACTGCGCCAGACTGCTTAAAAATATAGAAAATTATTACACCAGGCTCAGCTGTTGATCACTACTTCTCAGAAGTTTTTGTCTGAGTTGCAATCTATTCAAAAGATCCTGAGAGCTATTTCTTTCTGTATGGAGAGCTAAATTCTGTAGTCCGCATGGTTCTCTCGAATTCCCTACAAGACTCGAAGCACTAGTCAAACACACATACCAGGTTCTAGAAGTTTGGATGCTTATATTTGAGAAGTGCTGAGGTTGTGTTGAATACTGCCACTGGTCAAAATAATTTTGCTGCTTGATCACAGTACTTCTGTACTTGGCTACCCTTTATTTCCCTCCTTTGTGTTTTATAATTTCACTGCTTAACTACAAATTTGCACTACTTGTAACAGAAGGAACAATTTATGTGTATGATCTACAAATTCTACCTTAACATAGAGCAAACGGACCATGTGTCAGAGCGCTGAAGCGAGGCATGTTCTTACCATACAGTTCATGGCAAAGTGATTGTGCTGTGTCTGAAGCTCCATTGCGTGGGGGTGACTGGTTCCAATCTCTGTATAGCTGTTCAGAAAAAGACCTTTGTTGTGTGTGATCCAGTCAAACATCTGCAAGAAAATATTAAGGAAAGAAAAAACCAAATCACTAATTTGTTAAGGCAGAAATCACAGACAAGTAATTCTCTCATTAACATCTAACTAGCTACTATTTGGACGAAACAGCTGAGTCTGTTAAATGTGTTTCTCTCAACAAGCTACAGTAAAGTCATAATCATAAAGTCATAAACTTCATTGCTACAAAGAAGTCATAGTAAACAAACAGGCTTGGAGCACAGCCCTGAGTTACCAAGCTTTTACATTCTCTAATGTCAGCACTTTATGATGTTAGCAGCTTAGTAATTTAGAATGGAAATGGCAACTCATGGAAATTAAATATAAATTCATTCTTGCTGATCAAATACTTCAGCAGCAAGTTTAATGTTTTTAGTTCATAACTTTACAGCAGATTTGAAAACAACTTTTCTATTGCTAAACAATTTAAAAAAACTTAGAGTTACACATTACTTACTTTCAGACAAGTTTAAGGACAATCTCTAAATATGCTTGGTTTGTTGGTTGTTTGGTTTTTTTTTTAAAGAAAAGTATTTTAATATTCAAACAAATTTTAGGAAAGACCTTATCTGACAATGACCAACAATGGAGATATATAGGTATGTTAACAGTGGAACTGGAAGGCAAAGTTTTCAAAGACCAAGCAGCACAACTAAAGACTAGACACACACCCCCTGCAATGGTCTTGAAAACTTTGTTATATCTCAGCTCAAAAAACCTACCTACTCTCTGGATAAGCTGAAAAAAAACACTCAGAAAAAAATGGTAGCAATGAGCAGTAAGTACTCATTTAAAGATCTTTTAACATATGCTGGCTAACAGAGCAGTATTATCAAATCTAGTATTCCACCCAAGTACGTGACAAATAAAATTATAAGTAGACAACAATATAGTAAGGACTGTAAATCAAAAAAAACCCAAGTTTTAAGAGCTTAGACAACTTTAGACAACTGATCACATACTCCTAAAATTTTCAGTTTCTTATCTAGACTACAGTGAAGATGTATTAGAGCATTACTCAAAATAGACACCGGTCCTGCTGGTGACCACCTTTCTCTAGGGAGTCTGACTTTGCTGCCTTCAGATATCTACAGGGCAATTCCAATCAAATTCCCTCTCACCTCACTCCTTCTTGGCCTTCTCTTCTCTTGAACCAGCCCGGATTTCTCGTGCAAGGTTTATTCCTTCCCATTCAATACATTTTATTATTCCAACAAAGATCCAGCCCTTTCCCGCACCTAACTCAACCACATGAACAATACATAGATAAAGAAGCCCTGAGCTATGAAATCTAATCGGACATAAGCAGTGAAACAAAGGCTTCAAACAGATTAAGGCAAGGGCCTTAATCCAAAAGTGGGTTGGGATACTATACAAACCTTTTTAATATCTTTTTCTACTGGTTGATGAGAGAATCAAGTCTCCGGTATGCTAGCTGCTGTCAACCCCATTCTGAGGTGCCTAACATTTCCCTCTATTTTGAAAGAAAGATGCCCTAATTTAATATAGACTTATTCTTGGAATCGAGAACCTAGAAAACATAGATCGGAGCTTATGCAACTACCTGGCAGGACAGAGACCAATCCCACAGGCTCAAACATTTAACAAGGCGTTTCTTAAAGCCCCAAGTTATGTAGGCAACTTCTAGATGAGTAAATGAAGAATGTATCTTTCAATACCATGTGAGCATCATCAAAATATATTTTGTTCACACTGCAATGAAGAGTAATTAATGATGTAATTAAGTGGCTGAAAAGTTGCTAAAAAGCATTTCGGACTTGAAAGAGCAATACTAGACCAACACCTTGTTATTTTCTAAATGATTTTCTAACTCTAAATTGACTTGACTAGATTTTTTTCAACACTTCACATGCCCCTACTATTTTCAGCAATATCCACTCAGTAAACACTTTAAATGCTATTTTTATCAAATTATTTCTTTTTTAAAAACAGCAGAAAACATTAAGAGTAATGTAAAGAAAGTCCCTGAGCGGAAATGATCAGAGCAAGGGAAAGTACGGAGGCAGAAAACAGAGGAAGAAGGAGGAAGTAGAAGTATTATATACGTTTGTTCTGCATTTACTCCTCCCCACACATCTGCTTATGACCACTGCTGGAGAGCAGGATTCTGGTTTAACATAGACCTCTGGTCTCACCCAGTTCAGGCATTCTTAGATAAAATATTTTAAGAAATCTGACAAAGATCATACTTACCACTTGACTGCATAGTCTAGTTACTTCTCCCGGAGGAAAGCTCCTCACCCTTCCTTAAAGCTATTTGTTCCATAGTAACAAGTTAATAACAAGTGATTGCAAAACCATTCTATATGAAAATAGATCTTATTTGAGCTCATCTAAAAGTGCACAGCCTGACATATTTCCTCTTCAAATTCCATGACAATCAAGGGCTTTCTCATTTGAAGGGACTGGTTAGCCCGAAACATTCTGAGATCACTCAGTCCCCTGTTAATAACATATGCACTGTCAAAAGAGATACATCAGTTTTTAGCCTGGGACTTAAAAGCCTGCATCAATGAAGCAGTTCCCCATGTCAGCCTCTTCAGACTTTGTTGACTGCCTGTCACTCAAATCCCAAGGGTCACTCAAAAGGAGACTGATGTAGTCCTTAGTCGTCTGTATTTATAAAGTATGCAGCATTCACCTTCACTTGATGTGTGCAAAAGTATCCGTCTGGAACAAGAACTTACAAAACCAAAAGCTTTAAAGTCATTACTGCTTCGAATTTTCTGCAGTGAGAGCCACAAGTGTTCTTTGCAGTTTAGAATTACTACCCCATCTCCTTTACTCCAGAAGACTAAGAGTCACTTTCAATCAAGAAACCCTTTATTTCTCATTAAAAGGCTAGTGATTAACTCTAAAGACAAAAATCACCATTCGCAGTTATCCTTGGTACTTCTTTCAAGCCCATCAAGCAGTGCCCATTTATACTCTCCTTCCCCAATCCCTTACCTTTTCAGCATCCTGCTCAAACAGCCTAAGCTGAAAGCATTGGTCCAATTTCAATTTCCGCACATGCCACATCTGATGCAGATGCTGCCGTGTTGAGTGCAGCCTGTCCAGCATGGTGGATACTTTGGGTAAAAGGTTCTGTAAGTCTGCATTCCCTGACCCAGAGTTCTTTTTGGGAAAGCTGTCACTGCTCTGTATCCGCTGGAGCAGCTTTTGTCCTTCCACATCAAGGTCCTCAATAGGAGCCTTAATGACTTTCTTTTTTAGTTGTGAATGCTCCTCTATCATATTGCGAGCGCCTTCCAGGTCCTGAGGCATTTCCTTTTTTGACAATATATCTTGCAGTTCCTCCAGTCTGGACAGCATATGGGTTGCATTGCTAATATAGTCCTCAAAGGCAACTCTGATTTCTATCCACTCCTCATGGTTATATTCCAAACAGCCATCAAATTCTGGGGTTAGCTGAGAAGGATCAACTACTTTGGTAAGGCCTTCCAGAGACACCATATTTGTCTAAAAAATAAAAATGAAAATTAAAAAAATGTTGTTCATGAAATGAATTTGAAATTCTCTTTCAAGTTTTTGTTTTTCTCTTTGTAAGAGATCATTTGGCACATGAAGTACACAGGACTTAACTTTTCTCGTACATTTGCTTTTCAAATATCAATTCTGATCAGCCTGCTGTCTTGCAGGTATTTCCCCAAATGAGAGAAATATTTTAATTATTTCTTACCTCACTACACTTAAGGAGAAAACAGCAACCACTTGTTTGAGTACTGTTTTGATGAAGTTTTCACTTTGTGTATTGTAAAGCAGCAGGAGGATAACAGCAAGGTTCAGGTGGCTGCTTTCCTCTGGATGCTGGTGATATCACGATTATCACAATGCAGACCAAGACAACAAACAGATGAAATCTAAACTTTTTACCATTAGGTGTAAAACCCTAATTTCATCTTTCTCATGCTCAGAAAAAGAATATAAATGACAACATGGAAAACTACCGAGCCTAAGTACATGAAGAAAACCACATTCCCTCTAGCACCACTGGTCTAATGCACCCCTCTTCTCATCCAGAACAAAATTTATCTGAGAGTTTTCAAGATGGTGAAATAGTGAGCACACTTAAAACCGTGAAATACATGTAAATTTGTATACCATAGGGGAAATTACCTCAAACTCAAACTTAGAGCTGCCAAAGTTAGTCCTCTGTTTCTGCCAGAAATTGTCTGGCTTGATTATCAGTGCAACATGAATACAACATGGAAAGGATTCCTGTAAAATCTTCAGCAGTGGCTTTATGGAGTCCCATTTTGACCCACGCATATCTACAATGACGGTGAATCCTCGTTTACATACTTCCTCACTGCAGAAGAAAGAAGAAAAGGTTATCAAGCATTACAACTTCAAACACAGCACTCTGTTGCACCACACTGCCTAACGAACGTGGTCTCCTCAGCTAGCCGTAACACCCTAGGGTCTCACTGTTGACTAGCTAACACAAACAGCATATCTCATGAACTTCCCAGGGAGTTTCTCTTACTCCCCTGCCACACTCTTCATGGGTGATAGCTTTACACCTGTTGCTGATTTGATAATCTGCCTTTATCTCCTCTCTCATTTTCATTGTTTATATTCACAATGATTCATCTTCCAGTCTTGTTTCTCCTTCACCTTACACATGTTAAACAAACCATTTACTGAAGCAGCAATATGTAATTCATTTACGATCGACTCCACAGAACACAGGCACGCTTTAGTGATGACAATACTCATGCTTTTCTAATGACTGAGGGGATTCTCTAAAAGACAGAAGATAGCATGCTGTTCTCACCCACCATTTCTGCAACTTTTTTTTAACTGTCTCAGATTTATTCCCATATTATCTGAGAGTTAAGGAGTATGTAGAGGGAAAAAAAACCCTTTAGTGACAATTTCTTCTGTAACAGAATCAATTTGTGGATAGTTAATGGATAAGAAAGCATTTCGTGGCTGTGAAGAAAACCACATCAACCTGTTCCTACAAAATCTGAGCTCAATAAAAGTCGACAGACTTTACACCAAATTCTTTGGCAACTCTTCTGGGAATGGTAGATTTAATTTCTTTTCATCAGTACCTTTTGTACACTGAGTGCTTGCTGCTGATCAAAAGCAGCAATCACCACCAACACCAGAAATTTTGGGTTTGTTCCAGCAGAATTTGCTGCATGACCTTGTTAACATGGAAAGGGAAAATATTTCAAAACCAATGTGTCACAGCCAATGGACACTTAAAAGGAACCAAACGTCCATTGTTTGAGTACACGAGTCACTTTTAAGGATGTGACTAATGTAAATACAATTCTGGAGTACATGTGGTGAGGTTTTCAGAGTGTCCAAGTAAGGAAGCTCCACTGGCACATTGTACACAGTTTTAGGCCACATTGTAGGAAGAGAAGTTGTAGATGCCCCATCCCTGGAAGTGTTCAAGGCCAGGTTGGATGAGGCTTTGGGCAACCTGGTGTAGTGGAGGGTGTCTGTGCCCATGGCAGGGGAGTTGGAACTAGATGATCTTAGAGGTCCCTTCCAACCCAAACCGTTCTATGATTCTATGAAGATGAGTTATGATTGATACAGGAGAGCAGAAGAGCTTCTGAAAGAAGTGATAATACAGGTTCCTTAGAACAGGAGGGTTTTTTTAAGTTTATTTTAAAATAAAAAACAAACCATCATGTAAAAACGGAGTTTATAAAGATAAACGCTGGCTGTCCCACCTGCCCATAGGAATGTCAAAAATGACGAGAGCAAGAAAATACATTAAAATTGCCTAGCTTGGAACACATGTAGGCTACAACGTACAATCTTCTGACCATGGTGAAAATGTTTTCTAACAGCCTTACGAGATTAAAGGACAAAACCAACTACTGTTTCAAAGACACACCCATCACTGAAAGGCTGCATGCTATTATATGAGTGCTGCCCAGCCCATCTCTATCCTACCACACAAACGGAGCACTGCATGAGGAGGAGTGCTTGCCACTAACTCACAAGGCACAAGTCTACTGGGGTGTACAAAGCGGCCTCTCATCATGTGATACAGTGCAGATTTGTCCTCCCATCATATGACCCCATCATCTGACAAAGGATGAATCCCTTTTGGCCAAGGATCACAAAAATTGTTCTAGGAGGCTTTAGTCAGCCAAGGTCATCTATTAGGTAAACTTGAACTACACTAGTATCTGGTCCAGTCAGCATCGATGACTTAAGTTTAGCAATATTTTTAAATCAGATAAATTGTTAGATTAGTAAAACTGTGAGACTGAATCACCTTTAAGTGTTTAGATATCTTGCCAAACAACTGATACTGCTGAATCTTCAGCTACATAGAGTTAACAGTACTACAATTACTAATAGACAGACCAAATATGTGGGGTTGTTTGTACCAATTGGGACTTCTTAATTAGCAAGAGTTGCATGATCAGTCCCTAAAACATGAATTGCGTTAAAATGATTCTTGCTTTTAATAATGCTCCCTTTATTCTCAGAGCTTTGCCATGCTTGAAGAGACATAAAACCTGCATTAACTTTCTTCTAATTTTAAATCTGTTGATGCTAAACTAACATACAACTGTTGCCTGAGGACCACTGTATTTTGCCTGATTATCTTTAGAAAACTCTCTTGGGCATACTTTGATGCATATTTATCTATTAACTTCTCTAGTAACTTGAAGCTCTAGACAGCTAGAATACATCTCAAACATTCAAATATGAAGTCAAAGTATTTCAGAAGTAAAAATCTCAAGCCTTCCTCCCATCCTCCTTCTACTTCCACAAAAATCTCCCAGTTAACTTAAAAAAAGTACTAACGCGCTGTCCTGGTTTCGGCCAGGACAGAATTAGTTTTCAAGTGAAACACAGACTAGAATAATTACATTACCAACAATCACTCTTAAGGAAGGCCATACACATGGTCAACTAGATGTCTTGAAGTTATTTTATGAAAGCGCTTTTGTCAATCTGAAACAGACATCTGATTTCATGAGGTGCAAAGAAGACTACCTATAAGTTAACACATTACAGAAGTACGGAAGATATTGCATTGAGGGATGTTGATCAACCGTTTTTTTTCAACTACAATGACAACTGCTCCTTGAGGTCATAGGCAAACATATTCAAGCATAGTCAGCATTGCTCCAGTCTGCACCAAACACTGGCAGACTCTGAGATGGACCTCAAGTCAGGGTCTTACGATCTTTTTTGTCTCCAATTCAGTTACTACTAGGAACAAAGTTCTATGTGAACAAACTTTTTTACATATATATAATTATATATATATATGGCTCTGTGTGTGTGTGTATATTTATACGCAAACACACTAGCACTGGATTTGACTTCTGCCCATTTATTTAAATAGCACACTGTAATTCACAGCTTAAATTGTTGATAATACAACGATATCAGCACTTTCACAGATCACTCCACAGGTTTATCTGAGACCTAAACAAGCAACGCTACATATCTGCCTCTTGGTTATTCCTGAGCTATATCAGGACACTATAACTTATCTAGTACAAATAACAGTTAGGAGTGTTGTGCTGACCTCAGCCCACACAAGGCATGTTGTGAATAATGACCAGCACATTTCTAGTTACTGATTTACTGAAAGCCCTTTTGAGTTGTATTCATAATCTTCAACACAGTGACAGTGCCACTTCGAAGACACAAACTCCTTTCAGTTAAAGCACACTAGCCGTTCTGCCAACAGCCTTCCTTCTACAAGGCAGAGTAATTATTTAGGTCTCTTCCAAAAAGCAGTTAGAAAACAGTAACTGACAGAACTTGGTACGAATTTGCTCATTTTCTTAACCCGTCCAGTCTTCTAGCTTGTGGGTGTACTGCAACATAATCCATTTATTTTGTTCTATAGCTTCAGAGCTTATAAAGTGACCATCACTTACCTAGGAATACATGCTAGGTATGAAATTAGTCTTCTAAGGTCTTCTTGCCGTATTCTATCATGATTACTACGAGCTGGAAATGTTAGAATGGGACCTCCACGCTTATCTCTGCCACCTGAAAAAATAAACATGTTAAAAGACCCCACTTCATAACACCATTCTTGTCTGCAAAATCAGTCTTCAGAATACTTTTGGAAAACCTAAGTCCTACACTGTTTCATGAAAGTCCACTTCAAAGAAGTGATTTCGAGTTAAATGCCAACGCTGTCATTTAGAGATCAGCTTAAAACTGAATTTTGGGACTATCAATCAGCATATTGTCACAAATCCTACAATAAGGAAGCATATGTCAAAAAAAATTGAAGCAAAGAATAACCATAGCGTTACACTTACACAGTACAGTTACGTTCAAGTTTGGCACTGTGACATCTCCAGCAATGGTGCTTTGTTATGTATTAAACTTTTGAATCAGCAATCGTACAGATTAAGTTTAAATATAGAGTTATGCTACTTTGTAGGCAAGTATTTACAGGATACTCAGTATTAACTTCATTAGTAGCACGGAATTTAGGTGTATAGCATTTCAAGTCCAATGCATATACTGGATGAGTAGACAGATACTATTTAAGCATTTAATTTCTATTTTTACCCTGTTCTGATGTGCAGATTTTGAATTGTCAGTTCACTGTTTTTAATGTTGTTAGCAATGCAGGGAATTTTGAATCTGCTTAATATCTAAGGCAAAAATCTGACTTTGAGTGGTTCCACTTAAACATATACATTGGTTAAATTGCACAGACTTACTGTAGTTGAACATTAAAAGGCAATTTTATATCCAACCCCTTGCTAGTGACAAGAAAAACGTTACTATTACTAAAAGCTAAACTCAAGTCAGTAGGCTGTCTTTATTAACACTTGTATAATTGCACAGACACATTCTTACAAGCTAGTTATGTTCTTAACCACGGATGCGTGGACTGCTTTCTCCTGTCCCATGGAAACACAGAAAAACTCTGTCCTGAATGATTTATTTCTCAATGCAAATCAGCTCCTTCCTCTTTGTAAATCCATGTTACTAAAGTTTTAAAAAAATCCCTCCGAAAAGAAGGTGAAAAGCAATGAATAAAACCAGTCACTCAAAAATTCATCACTATCCTCCCCAGTACAGTCTGCATGTGTTTGCTAGGAACAGCGTGGATGGCTGTCAAGGTCTCCAGGGATTGTCTGCACTGGACATGTTCCCTGTGAGGCACCCAACGAAACTCAGAAGAGGCAAATACAGCTCTCATTTTCTGTCAAGCTGCAAATGCCAGAAACCTAAACTTAAAAGAAAATTCATATCCTTGTCTTCCATGGCTCTCTGAAGTGGGACATGAGACTAAAAACAACTGACTTGTCTCATTCTAATGGAGAGAGGCATGCCTGGTCTTGACCATCCTGACCCACCCGCCACGCAGAAACCTTTGAGGATTTTTACACCGCAAGTGACAGGATAAAAACAAGACAGAAGCCACAAGAGAGAGGAAGGATAAATGACAAGACTGAGAGTCCAACAGCCCAGACCTCCGCGCAGCTCCAGAGCTATCACTAGGCTCCAGAGTGATCACTAGGCTCCACAGCTACCAGGCTTAGCTGGAAGTCTGCTGCTGCAGTCCTTAATGCTGCTCTCAGTGCACTGCAGGCCATCAGCTACAGATCTTAAAAATTTATGTTCCTACTGGTAAACGCTACTGATTGCAACCCCCCCCCCAGAAAAAGCGCTCGATTGCTCAGGGTGGAAACTCTTCTTTAAAAAGCAGCAGCCGGCAGGGAAGAGCATACGCTGAATTGTCTTTAACACTCTCTAAGCATTTTAAACAAACGCCTTGTTACACACAGTCACCTCAAATCAGTCCTCCAGGCCTTTCCCACACAGCAACTCCTGTATCATAAGATTTTCCAACATGGCAGAGGAAAGAAACCCATATTCTTTATGTCATTTTGGATGCCACTTCAGTTGGCTCCGAGCTCCACATACAGCACAGAGAAAACGCATTTTTAATGTATGGTGCTTCAAATTTCTGATAAAACATATCCTGAAATTTTTGTACATTCGAGACAAGAATCTGTCACACAAATTTCAGGCCTTGATGAGTAACAAAGAAATTAATACAGCTTTGATTTTTGGTGAGAAGAATTTCACTGTCCAGTCTTAAATCAGATACCAAAAGTGAAAATATTAAGCAAAAAAAGTCCCTAAGACTTAGTTTTTTCCATCAGCTATACTGAAAGCTTTTTTAGGCCTTTTCCAATAAATAACTCTTATTTCCTTTGTTCCTCATGCTCCTGTGTCATACACAAACAGGAATGTTAAACGCGACAATGTATGAAGCATCAGGTGGGAATTTCCTGTGGTCTCACAATAGTCTTTATCCAACTCAACCCCATGTTTGTCTTAAAAAAAAAAACCTTAAGCTACTACTTTCATCGGTGAGATGTCCATTTTTACCCCTTTCTTTTTATATAAAAACCCCCACGGCACTGAGATATTCTCTCTGTTTATGCCAGGATGTGTCATATGAGTAGCTGACCAACTCACACGAGTAATCCAACATGAACCAGTACTGTCTAGTGCACATCACTAACTAACAACAGTCTTGTCAACGGTCTCCAACTGGCACCAAACTCCAACAAGCTGAGTAGTGCATATTTTTAAGGAAATTTCTTTTTACCTAGTTTCAAAGTACTGAGGTGAAGCCAAACAGTGGGCTTTATGGTACGTCTGAAAAGCAGGACAGTTATCAAGTGCTATTTCCTCACATGAAACCAAGACAATTGCATCTTCTAAGAAAATGATCTCCTCATATAACTACCTGTAGAAATGTAAGAATATCTGTACTTCAACAGACTTCAGTATAAACTTAACAAAAAAATTGCATCCAAGACTCTATTTGTATTTCATGGACACATCTCTAGAAGGCATTTCTGTTTCAGATGGTGAGACATATAATACTAAAACATTTCCCAGTTAGGTGAAAATCAGTTCAAGGAAGCTTTGTCTCTTCCCTCCATCCCCCTCCTCTTTGTTGTTGTTTGAGAAACGATTTTAGAAAAATAACACTGGATTCACAAGGAAGCTGTGTCCAAGCATTTGCACCCTACACATCAAGTTACTTTGACCCATACAAGATCAAGCAGTCCAGTCTGTCAAGACTGGTTTCATGAAGGACAAGTATTTTCAATACAAAATTTATTCCAGAATCAATATGTACAGATATCAGAATTCAGGCTAGCTTGGTGAACTTTGGGACTTTGCAGTTATCAACCTACATACTGCAAGGTGTACTTCACAATATTTCACAGAAGTATTTGTTCTTCTGTACTTCCTTGCCTCCTGTCCTAGCAAAAAATATACCTGCTTCAAGATACATTCCAGAAATGAATTCTCAGAGACTACATCTCTCCTCTTCACTCCAACTGTCATCCAATCATTAATTTTACTTTTCTGTATCAGTCTGAGTATCACAGCCACGCTAGCGTTTTAAGATATTCAAAGAACACACAGATTTTACCAAGTCCAGAAGACTTAGCTGCACCATAGTCCTCATTTGTACATTGTTTGTTGTACAAAATTAAGTTCTAAATTAATCTTAAAAAAAAATAATAGTAATAAAAAAAACAACAAACAACTATGCTGGCTGGTGCTATAGATAACAGAGGCAAGGAGAAAGAATTCTCTTCCATCTAAATACATCTTCAGATACACTAACTCATGAAAAATCCACTTTTTTTCATTTATAAAAACATATCATTAATAGCTTAGTAAAGGAGTCTAAACTGGATTGTGATAATGGAGGAGAAAGCAAAAGTGAATCATGTCAGATCTACTGTGATTTGTGGTAGAGGAAAAGCAACTCCTGAAATGTTTTTTCAAAGTGATAAAAGTACTCAGACTGTGCAAAGAAAAATAAATTATGTTGAGTAGATCTGCTAAATACATCCACCTGAAAACAAATGAAAGGAATAAATGAAAAGCAAGGACTGAATCACAGCAATATAGAATGACAGCCTAAGTCAGGCTAACAGATTGAAGAGGTACCTGTTGGAGGAGAAAAGGGAAACTCATAAATACAGTTTAATCACATCATAGTACACTTGGAGTAAAAGTGGTACCTCAGTGGGAGGCATCTTTAACTTGATGAAAACACCAAGATTTCTGATTGGATCAAAACATCATCTCAAGAACAGCTTAGGAGACACCTCTGGTGGAAACAGTCATTGCCCCTTGACTTCTCCATGTAGCTCCTTGAGAAAAGAGAGCCTCCATCATCTTTGTAGCTGCCCTTTAAGTACTGGAATACTATAATAAGGTACTTCCTGAGCCTTCTCTTCTCCAGGGATAAGAGACCTAACACCTTTAGTCTTTCCTCTAAGGGCAGGCTTTCCAGCCCTTTGATCATTTTCGTAGCCCTCCCTTGGACCCTCTCCAGTCTGCTTGCATTTTTCTTTAATTGTGGGGACTAGAATTGGACACAGTACTCCAGGAGCAGCCTGAAAAGCACTCAGTAGGTTGGGATGATCACATCTCTATCTCTGCTAGTCACACCCCTGCAGATGCAGCCCAGGATCTGATTTGCCTTTGTTACTGCAGCAGCACACCGCTGATCCATATTTTAGCTTTTTGTTCACCAGGACCCCCAGGTTCCTTTCCATAAGGCTGCTCCTCAGCCACACAGACCCTAGCCTGTACTGGGCTCTTCAGTTATTTCGACTCAGGTGGAGGACTCTGCACTTGTCTCTGATAAACTTCACACTGTTCTTGCCAGACCACTCTTCCAGCCTGTCCCGATCTCTCCATAAGATGGCCCACCCTAATATGTCCATCTCACAATAAGCTGGTCTCAAGAAGTGCTTAAGAAAGTCAGCACTGTCAAAGATGAGTGTCTTTAGTATTCTACAAACACAAAGATGGATATACTGCTATACAGCCCATGTTTAGTCATTCAACTTGGAGAAGGAAAATCTCAGTAGAGAAAGGCAGAGAAAAGACTGGGGAAGTGAACCGAGGATCTCAAACACTCCATGAATTTTTTTTCAGACTGTGTTATTTGTGTAACTTCCCTGCTCTACAAAAGAGAAGTATTTCTTTGCACTGCTGATTGTCATACTTTAGGTCTACTTGAGAAGGTACTTGACAATCAACAATGGACATGTTGCAACAACTCTACCAGAACTTCAATATAAATGAACAAAATACAAAAATTACAGTGATGCTTGTGGATGCCTTAGGCTTAATCGGACTATTAGAGTTTTTAGAAGAGATAACAGAGTTATCTTTAGATAGAATTTTAGTAGAGATATCCCAAATAAATTTGTCCTACTTCTACAGACCGTAACCAGTTATTGTACTTAAAAATATTAAAATCAAGTACTTGAGCAAAAGTTGCACTCTTGAAGAAAAAAAATTAGGTGCATTGAAAGCCTCTGTAAGTCTGTAATCCAACAGTCTTTCTTATCTTTGTGTTCTCAGATAGGAAGCTTGACAGTTCTAGTTCCACACCAGTTAAGCCCTAGTGGTGGCAGTTTTGTAAGGGTTTTTTTTTGTTGTTGTTTATTTGTGTTTTTGTGGGTTGTTGTTTGTTATTTTTAAATCACTTGCACTACTAATGTATCTCATCTCATTTGAGCTCCACTCGCAATGGAAATGTGAAACTAAGGATTTTCGCAGATCAGTTCTGGCCAGTCTTGCTGCCAACAGCTGTTTGCTCCATTCTTCTGTCAGAAGCTGCTACCTTCACACAGGCAAGTTGGCAACCACTTCTTCCTGCCTGCACCTCATCTGCTCTGGTTCATAATCCATCACCTCCCCTTAAATTTATTTTCAGCTTTCATTTGGCCAACTTCACTTCCATTGAATTAATGCCTTTTGAGAATGCCATATCCTTACAAATTAACATTAGACAACATCTATCATCTTTCAGATCCCTCTTAAGGGGTCTAAACCAAGTTCTGGACAACCTGAAAATTCAGAGGTTTTGGAATGGAAACTGACTAACTAAATTTTCATTGAGTGCCATAAGGCAAGGTGCAAAAAAAGAGCAATGAGGGATTTAAATATTGCGCTTAAGTGCCTTTTCACGTCGTCTTTCCCTCTGAAAATACAGTTTTAAGCAAGCCCTCATCAGCAGTACAATTTGTAAGCAGAAGAATCACGAGTTCCCATACTACCAGGGAAATTGGCTCTGGGCAGTCTGTTACATCATTCATTACAGTTGCCAGGACCTTTTAAAAACACACATCTTTTTTGCTTTACACCTCTACTTGACTCAGCAGAGTGGAGAGGATGAAGTACTGTGAACTACACACTGCACTTGCAAGCATCAGCATCCATGCACAGCAAATCTCTAAGGAGTACAATTTCAGGGATCATTCTGCATTTGGTTTTAATATTCACAGATAAGAGCTTTATTTTTGGAGTTCCTGACAAACTATTTATCAAAAAAAAAAAAAACCCTTTTCAAATATGAGACTGTTCTCTAAATCATTTGACACTAAGATTATGGTAAAGAGAATGATGTTGTTTAATCCCAACAGATTTGGAAGTACTAATTTCAGAAAGTCACACCAAAACACAGTTCACAAGAATAAGCACCTCAGCCATCATTCCATCAAGTAAAGTTATTTATCAAGTTATAGAATACGTTACGGTATTCCTTCATCTAAACCCCACTTTTAAATTCTCTGCTACTCCTTAAGAAACCAACCGACTTCAAGGTGTATGCTGGAGATAGCTAAAATTAGATGGTAACTCATTTCACCATGAAGATATTGTGTGCTTCAAAAGATACATACTGAAATTTCAACTCTGCAACAGAGATATTTCTCCAGTGCTTCAGATGGACCAGTAACAAAGCCATCTCTGTAAAACTCTTCAGCAGAAGAACCAGAAATAAGAGAAGGAATCTGACTACAGTACAGCAGGTTGTTCTAGGTTGTTCTAAATAATGCTGTTGGATAGGCAGGAGCAGTAGGGGAGGGGACAACACACAACTGAGACAACCACCGGTATGTTCCACATTCAACAAAACACGTATCATATTTATTACAGATCCTTTCATACCACTCACGTTATGTTTGGGATATTCAACTGGAATAGGTGCTACCCTAGCTTTCCATAACATTTGTAATGATACTTAAAGTATTTAAAATACCGTTTTACATGTGACTAACACCAAACTTATGCATTCCACAACAGAAGAAAATAACCGTACCTGAAAGGTATGCAACTTTTTCCTTTAAAATTGGCAATACTTCCATAGCCTTCATTTCATCATTTTTGCGAAACCCTGAAAAAAGCAAAAGACAAGATAATTAGTCAGAAATTCAGACAAGACCAGTTTCTACATTTTCCTGTCTGTCAGGAGCAGCATCTTGTAATGGAGAGCACATTCCATCATGTTAACTCTACACACCCATGGAGTTTGAGATGGTCTCCATGTTGAGTGATTACAGTCAATGTTGCAAAGCAGCACACCACCAGCTTGTCCCTCCTCTCTACTTCCATTACATTTCTGAGGCCAGATTCTAAACTTCTCCCTTCTTTAATAGGGAGATTTGGGAAGCATTTTATTTATGACGTTATATTCTGACCTGTACAATACAGAATTGGTCCCTTTTGGCCCAATCTTGTTCATCTTCTAAAAATTGGGTGGTTTTGTAGCCACGCTTCAACTAACTGTCTGTATGATCCTTCCCAGTCTCTTTGGATTCCTGTGCTTTTTTAAAAATCCCACTTCTGAATACAGTACCTCTTCTGGCGTAGGTGGGAAGCACTTATTTCTCTATCACTGTGGAAGCCCAGAAGCGCTGTTAAGTAAGACAGACCAAACAGCCTGCTACGACACAGGAGTTGTGCTCCTTCAAAGCAACAGTTTGAGCGATTTAGAAGGTAAAATAAGCTTCTCAATTATTTGTAGTTTAGGGAAATTTTACAAGAGCAAGCTCTGATGTACACGTGGCAGTCTTGTCTAAAATATATTGTTCTTCCTCTGTGCAAAAGGGCCCCAATCCCTCTAGAGATGGCAGCAGAAGCTGTCATTGATGCTTAGCAGGGAGGCCATCATTTCTCTTCCTCCTCAAAAATATACAAATGTTTCACATCCTTTGGGTCTCAGGCTCTCAGATTTAACAAAAGAACTGTGCACTTCAGAGATAAAACCTGAAGGTATCATCCTGGTGCCATCAAGTATCATAAGATTTGTAAACAAGGGCATCATATATGTAAATTACATCACACAGGTTTTTGTTCCAGCCAGCAACACTGAGACTTCTGTGCCAACTACAGTATCTAGTTACGGGTGTCACCCTTCAAAACAGACCCAGGACACACCAAACAGAACACCCAAGGGACAAAGGTGGCCAGGTGTTTACATGTCATGAGCTATGAGAAAGGACTAAAGCAAATGACACTGTTTAGTCTGAAGAACTCAGGGGAGACACCATAGCAGTCCTCAAAACACAAAGTCTAGTGGTAGCAAAAGTAAGCTGGCTAGAATTATAGCCAGAGGTTTACTTAGGTGGTAGGAAATTTTGTAAAGAACTGTGAAGCAGCACAAGGGATTGCCTGTGGAAGACGACGAACTATCTGTGACTGGGGATTTTTAAAAAAATGCATTTAGACAAATATCTGTCAGCAGCAGGTCCCTCCAGTTTACTGTAACTGAAGCGTTCAACCAGGCCATTGTCTCAGCACCCACAGATTACAAACATAAGAAAACTAAACAAATCCTCTCCCAGCCATTAACTAGTTCCCTGGTTTTCCATGAGCACCATAAACTAAAAACAAATCCAAAATTTAATATACGTGCTCAGAAAGGCTAGACCAGGAAAACTGCTTTCTTGGGTAACCATGCGGCACGGAGGGTTTCTACATGACGGACAATATTTTGCAATTATACAGCAACTCCAGTCCAACAAAGCAGCAGAGGGACACAGCTATGTCGTTCACATTTGTGCATAGACTCTGAGGAGTCTAAGACGGCTCCAAAGGAACCTCTTGCATTATTCCTTCCTCCAGGGTACTGGCTGCAGGTTATCAACCTTTTACTGAAATTGTCAACAGTTTTGTTCCTACTAAGTTTTCATTTAGTATGAAATAAAGCTTTAAACAAGACTTTAAGAAAAACCTTGGTCTTAAATAACTCAGCTAAAAAGACAGCAAATACCTTTTTCCACTTTGGAATATTTGGGCTAAGGCATACAGGCACACTTCCAGAGTTAAATTTTTTTTTTAACATGCTTTGAGCTATCCACCGTAAGCTTAATGCCAATTCAGCATGCTCAGCTTTCACATCAACCATGGTGATTCCTTTCCTTTACAGTAAATTTAGAGGTAGAAAACACTTTCTCCTCACCTAAAAAGCGTGCAGAAACTAGTGTTGCACTTTGCTGTCTATTTCAGCCCCAAATTACCCAAGACACTGATGCTACCGCAACTCGCTCGCTCAGATTTCTAAGCCCTTAAACTACTTCACCCCAGATGATGCGCAGTAGCTGCGCATTTTACTTTGCCTGTGGCATGTAAGAAGCGAGAAGAATTTAGCTAACATTTCTTTGACTATTAAGGGGCTGCTCCAGGTAAACACCCTAGCAAACGCGTTAACGCTTGGCTCATGTTCTGGATCTGCATATCCTTAAGGCTGTCTGCCTTGGATTATCATATAAAAAAATCGAAACAGTCTATTTTTATTCCAGTTCTGCAGTGCTAAAGCTTAACCGAAAAGACTGTGGGGATTACAACTGACAAAAGAATGCTGGGGGGCAAAGAGGGTGAATACGGCAAGAAAGTATCATATTTTTATCTCCAGCAGAGCAATAATAAAACAAAAAAAACCTCACAACAGCAATATAAGGAGGTCTTAAGGGCTTGGGGTGGGTTCCTCTCCCCTTGTTTTTAAAGCCTCTACATCACAAA